CGCCAACTTTGGATAACGATTTGTTAAAATTTTTAACGCCACTTTAGCTATAGCATTTTTTGCATCCTTTTGTCTGTCGTACAATAGTTCGGTTTCCCACTCTTCGTTCTCATAAGTTAATTTACACGAGTATTTTCTATTGACCTTCGACTTGTCGTAAACGTATATTGGTGGTAACGCGTATTTTAATTTTTGATGAAACAATGCGACAACAGCTGATGGTGAAAACTCGGATTTAAATTCTTCATATAATTCCCACCCTGTTTTTGTACCGGAAAACATTTGTTTCTAAAAGTTTTTTTTTTTTTAAAAATAATTAATATTTTTGTAAAAGGTTTTTTGTAAAAAATTTTCTTTTTCAATATTGTTTTTTTTTTTACTTTTTAAAATTTGCCGATAATTACCAAATTTAGTTGACACATCCACAGTCGCGTTCAAATTTTTTGTTTAAAAAAAATGTCGTCAGAAAAAACCTCTGTATTAGCTTTAAAATGCGCTAGATTAAAGCTAAGACCAAACAATGTTCCTGATGAGCTACCTGGTCGCGAAAGCGAGTACAAGCGAATCTATGGAAAAGTTAGATCTGCGATTGAACAATTTTCAGGATGTTGTATTTGTAAGATTAACATTTACACGTACTTGTCTTTACATGTCATAATAATTTGATATATTTATATATGTCCGCTCCTAAATTAGGCGTATCAGGTCAAGCTGGAACCGGTAAAACGGCAACTGTAGAATGTGTCATGGATAATTTAAAGAAGGAAGTTAGCGAAGTTAGCGAAATGGTAAACCATTGAATTGATCGATTTGATTTGATTTGACAATAATTAATTACAACAATATTTAATATTCATTTTTCTTTCTAAAAAAAAGTCGTTCCATCTTGTTAAAATCAATGGAATGGAATTAAATTCACCTGAAGAATTGTATACTATATTATGGAAACAATTAACTGGTGTTATTGTAAATAGTTCCGATGCTAAAAAATTATTAGATGCAAGATTTAAGGCTAAATCTGAACCAGGTCCAATGTATTTATCTTTCTATCTATTTCAATATCAATATCACATTTTTTTGCCACACGAATGTTAATGTTATTATTTTCTCTTTTCATCAGTATTCTTATGTTAGATTCGGTTGAGAGTATAGCGAAAGAAAAAAGACAGGTCGCATATAATCTTTTAGACTGGACTGCGCGCTTTGATTTGTTTTTTATCTTGATATCGATTAAAATAATAATAATAAATTTTTAACAATGTGTGAAATTTTAATTAATACATATTTTTATATTTACTTTTTTAGCCTCTTTATCCATATTTTTTTTCCCTCTAGACTTATATTCAAATAAGATATCTCCATTATCAATACCGGTATCATCTTCATTACTATCATGATTATCACCATCATCGTCGTCGTCGTCGCCGTCATCATCATCAGAGTTTTTGTCATTATTAATGTCATTAGGATTATTTATTATTTCTTGTGATTTATTTGCTTTCACAATTGTATTGTTGTCGTTAGATATTGAAAGACCCACAAGTTTACGATAAATCAACTAGAATAACAACAATAATAAAATAAATCAGTTTTAATACTTATCAAAGATTGATTATTGGATATTTAAATATCTATATAATTTACCTCATCACCATCACCCTTATTTATTATATCAGTATCTCTCTCAGCATCAATCACATCAATTAATGTTCTTGGTATGAAGGACTTTTTGAATACTTCTTCATCAACAGAATTTTTTGATTCTTTAGATCCTTTATCAGTATTGTCTTCTCCTATTTCTTGTTGCTCTTGTAGATTCATTTTTTCTTGAATCTATCAATAAAACTCCCATTAAAATTTTTAATCATTCAAAAAATTTTTTTTGTTTTCACGCTTTATTTAAAATGACCTTGTCAAGCTCATTGTCAATTTGTTCATCCTCTATCCCGAATCCTAAATCTGTAATAAAATCAAATAGTTCTTTGATATTCATCACTTTTACATCTTTTTTCCGAAAATATTCCGTAATATTATCACAATCTTTTCTCAAAAATCCTAAAGCATGCGGATGATCATGTTCTACAGATTGTGACACATCTATAATATATAGTTTCCTTGAGTTATATCTGAAAACATTCGAGTATTAGTAAAAAGTTTTTTTTTGATGCAAGTAATTATTTTATCAATGCTTATAAAACTTACAATAAATTGTATTCACTTAAATCTGCATGAACAAGCCTACATTTATGAAACATAATCCTCATATTTTTAATAATTTGATAGTACAATTCTGGATAAATATCTGATTTAATATTTGCGTCTTTTAGTCTTGGATATGCCCTTTAATTAAATAAATAAATCATTTCAAATCATTAATCGTTAAAAGAAACAAACAAAAATTTATAAAATATAAATTTATATTATATATCTGTACATCTATAACTTACCATCCATTTTTATCACCTAAAAAACTCATCACTAATACATGCAACTTTAACAAAATAGGTTCTGGACATGGTAAATTAGCTTGCCATAATCTTTTCAAATTTCTCATTTCCTTTTCCGCCCATAATTTTACCATTTTGCGTGGATTATGTTTATTATATCCATGTCTAAATCTAAATTCTCCTGTTACGTAACGGTCACGATCTTTAAATATTAATATTGAGGTTTTATAAACTTTTATAGCCCTGTGATCATTTGACTCTGTTGTTGCATGATATACATTTGCCTTATAATGGCGATAAAAGTAGCAGTAATAGTAATTATTGTTATTATTAAAATCAATTTTAATAATTGAGAAACAAATTTCTTGACTTTGTGAAATGAATGACTAATTAAAATTACTTCTTTTCCTGTACTTATACAACCATTGATTTCATATATTAAATTACTATTTATTAATTTAAATAATATAATTCTTGTACGTGGATCTAATACTTGTTCTGTTGTGGCACGGTCTGATTTATCACTATATTTTTGTCTGTCATATTAATCGATCAAAAAAGTAAAGCAAATTGTTTAATTAATTTATCGATTAATGGCTAAACTTTTTTGTCTTCTTCTTTCAAAAAATCCTTACTTTTCTCCTTGAGCTTTCTTGTTACTCATTTTTATATCGTTTGTTACAGATGATGAGAAGTTACTAGTATCAACATCGCCTATATTATTTTTTACAGAAACACGTATAATGTAAATTCCCATTCTTTTTTTGCAAAATCCCTTCTTATTATTGATAAAATATACTACTTGCCAAGATGAATCCTATTTGTATATTTACTTAGAATTTTCATATGATTTTGTAATTTCGCTTCAAAAGATGAACAAGGACACACGTATATATTTATAGCATAATGATTCTATTAATAATAAACAAACAAGAAAAAAATGCCAAAATCTGTAAAGAAAAGAAGAATTAAAAATACTTCTGGTAAGAAAAAATAATTTATTGATTTATTTGATGAAATTTGTTTGAAAAGATTTTTCATTGTATATTGAAAAAAAGAAAATAATTAACAAGTAAATAAAGATAAATTTTATTATTATTTACATTTAATCGATTATATTAAATATATATATTTTTTTTAAAAATTAAATATTATATAAGATCTACAATATAAATTATTAGTTTATGTCTAAAATTTTTTTTAATTTAACAACCAATTGCCATTCTTCTTTACTCAAATCATTCCTGAACGACTCTTTTAATATGTCAATAGATTGACGTGTTATCTAATAATAATAATAATAATAATAATAATAAAATTATATATGTATAAATATTTAGTTGAAAGAATAAAAAATATATGAATAAAAAAAATATTTAATGTATTTACCCTACTATACAAATCATCCGATTCTGTAAAATGCCGTCCACACAACTTTGGTGTTTCGTACACAGGACATTCAATTTTTATAGCAACCCCTCCGCTTACTTGGCCTCTTTTAACTTGCTCAATAGATTTATGATTTTGTTCAATGCTAGTCACTTTTCCAAGGGTAATAATTTCTCGCACCTAAAATAAATAAATTTCATCAATTTAAAATAATTCACTTAATCACATAGTTCAATGAATAGAAATGACACCTACATTGGTTGTTGGATCTGTTTTTACAACACAGATTGGAGTTCCTGTACGTAAAACTCCTTCTGCAACATCAACACCAACTATAATGGGATCTCTTTTGTTAAATACTGCAATGATCTTTAAAATACAGGGGAAAACTGCTTGAGGCGCTTGATCTTTACGTTTTTGTTCCAATATTTCCTATTCAAACACGTTGGTGAATTATTTTATTTCTAAAAATAAATCAATATTATTTGCAAAATTAAAAAATAAAAATAAAACATACTTTATTATAAGCCGTGAATTGATCAAATAAATGATAAATAATATCAGCTTTAAATATATTTACGCCCAATTCATCAGCCAGATCTTGTGCATCTTTATCAACCTTAACATCAAAACACAACATAACAGCTAACCTATTTTTTTTTTTTTTTTTAAAAAATTAAATGAGATATTTGAATTAATAATAAATAATAGTAATAAATTAAAAATAAGACCTACTCTCTAGCTTTTTCCAACATTATAGCAGCACGCATAATATCTTTTTTATGAACTGGCCCAATATTTATTCCAGAGACTGGAATATTTGATACTCTTAAAAACTCTATAAGTGCTTCTAAAGAGCCTAACGTAGATGCTTGTACGCATACACCTTTTCCAGTAGTACGAAGATCATATAATAGGTTATATCTTGATTTTTTGATGCATTTAAAAAACAAGGATTTTTAA